ACATAATAAGTTAAACCCAAACAAAATTGCATGTTACCTTGGCCTGGCAAGTCAACGAAAGGAGGAACGGCACTGTGGGGTCACTCTCTTCGTCTCATACTCAAATGATGGTTTCAGATTCGGTAGCCGCATTCGGCTTTGTCGTTAATCACGTCTAGGATTCTCATGGGTTGGACTTACCTTGCCCGTTAGGATATCGAGACCGAGTCCCAGTCCAACACCGTCTGGTATGCGCAAACAATAAGGGAAACATGTCATACTTTATTTATAAATCACCCAGTGTATGTGGGTACAAAAATAAGACAAGATACGCCCGCTATTTCAAAGGATCACACAGTAGGCTATCGTCCCTTCCAAAGAGGTGGAAGTACGGACCGATATACAAGGTGAATACATCAAATGGGGTTGCGGTCATGCCAAGCGCATAGTGACCGTGATTCTACTTTAAACATGCATATGACGTGTCAAACCCATCGCTATAGGTGAGTGTGGGTTTTGCATAGATATCGGTCACAATTTCTATTTTATGTAGAGATCTGACCTAGATTGGTACGGTTATCTCAAAAGCTTATCGACCATTCTTTCGAGTTGGTATTTATGCCGAGATGGTGAGATTATGACAGCCTGGAAGTGATACTTGGCTGGTTCTAGATCTAAAGGAAACTAAAAGATTTGACTAAGAAATGCACACATACGGCACCAAATTGTTTGACCAAAAAGTGCTAAGCTTTTTGTTAAACTAATTAATAAAAAAATGGAGAATAAATCTTAGCCAAACATAATTAACTATAGATATAAGCATATTGAATATGAGAATCGAAGGAGGCTGAGCTTATATAACATTTCTTAAGATGATTAAAAGACATCAAACATAAATGATAAGCTTACATCTTTGATACATTGTTCTATACTTGTAAGAGCAAAGAAGGAAAAGAGGGAAAGTCGTTGATAACTATGAGATCTATCTTTATTCATTCAACAAGGATGATTACAAAGGGTTGTAACCAAAATCTAGGCTTTTTCTTTGTTGTTGGAGGTTCTCTCCTGTTCTCATCTTTGATACATTGTTCTTTTTTTTTTCTCGGATGGGAACCTCCTTTCTTGCATTCTTATATATTATCAATCTTCCCCTTTATCCAACGGTCTTTAACCAGCATACCCTTTCTTGACTATACTCTTCCTTACTCGCCCAAGTATTACGAAATATGTTCTGTCGCGTAAGCCTTCTGATGGCTCATCTCGGCAGTGGCCGAGATACTCGTCGCTATTACGCCTCGTGGGTATGACTATGGCTTGGTCAACCCCTTACCCTTCCTTTTAATGATAACTCACTCGTGATCAGATTTTGACCCATATAATAGCGACGAACAAAATTAAGTAAATTCATTGGATCCCCCCCCCCCCCCCCCCTTCTTTTTCTTTTTCACAGGACGATTCTGAATTTGTCCATAGATTTTGTTTCACTAAATCATATTTGAACTTCAAATGGCTTCATTATTTCAATTTTAACTTGCAATATAGAATTTGAAGATTGAAAAATGGGTTTTAAAACTTTTGTAAGTTTTTTCAAGTTTCACTCACAAAATTACAACTATGTTTTTACCATTTCATGTCAAAACACAACTTAAACTTTCAGATAAATACCTTTTTCATCTTAATTCAAATACTTAAATTTTTTTCAAATATATGAGTAATTCATGTCCAAACGCATTTGGATACCACCCGAGAAGAAAATGTTCAATCTTGCATCATTTTGTATCCTGGTACAAAGATCAAATCTCATCACGAGTTTTTCCTCTTATTCCTTTTCATTCGTCAGTTCCTCAACTCATGACGACGATACACAACAATAACAATAACAACAACCCAGTAAAATCCCACTAGTAGAGTTTGGGGAGGGTAATATGTACGCAGACCTTACTCTTACCCCGAACGAGTAGAGAGGCTATTTCCGGAGAAAAAAAACCCGGCTCAAGAAACAAAAAGACAAAAGAGGGACAATATTATTATCACCACATAAATCATAGAAAAAATAGGAACAACATTAAATTCAGAAGAAATATGCAAATCAAAAGCGATAGTTAGTAAATAGGTCATGCATTGTAAAGCATAATAGTAAGACACAATATTGCCAATAGCTCTTAGACAAAAATCCTACCAGACTAGTTTCATAAAGGTACGAAGTAAGGCAAGACTTAACTACCTCCTAACCTACAACCCTAATACTCGACCTCCACTTTTTTTCCTATCAAGTGTCATATCCTCGGAAATCTGAAGCCTAACCATATCCTACCTGATCACCTCTCCCCAATACTTCTTAGGCCGCCCTCTACCTCTTCTCGTGCCCTCCACAACCAGTCGCTCACACCTCCTTACCGGGGCATCTGAGATTTTCCTTTGAACATGCCCGAACCATCTGAGTCTCGCTTCCCGCATCTTGTCATCAATAGGAGCCACTTACACCTTCTCCCGAATATTATCATTTCTAATCTTATCCATCCTATTGTGCCCGCACATCCACCTCAGCATCCTTATTTCTGCTACTTTCATCTTTTGGATATGTGAGTTCTTAACATACCAACACTCAACTCCATACATCATGGCCGGTCTAATCACCGCTTTATAGAACTTACCTTTAAGTATCGGTGGTATTCTCTTGTCACATAGGACTCCAGATGCTAACCTCCACTTCATACATCCTATCCCAATGTGGTGTGTGACATCCCCGTCGATCTCTTCTCCCCCTGGATAACCAACCCAATGTACTTGAAGCTACCTCTACTTGGGATGGCATGTGATTCAAGCCTCACATCCATGCCCACTTCCCCCGGTTCAGCGCTGAACTCACGCTCCAGGTATTCCATCTTCATCTTGCTCAGCTGGAAACCCTTAGACTCAAGAGCTTGTCTCCAAACCTCCAGCCTCTCGTTAACACCGGCTCGCGGCTCATCACTCAGAACTATGTCATCGGCGAATATCATGCAACATGGCATTTCCCCTTGAATATGGTGCGTTAACGCGTCCATCACCAAGGCGAATAAGAACGGACTGAGCGCAGAACCTTGGTATAACCCCATTACAACCGGAAAATGGCTAGTCTCCTCCAACTGTCTTAACCCGAGTCTTAGCTCCATCATGCATATCCTTAATCGCCATAATGTAGGGAATCGACACCCCTTTTGTCTCCAAGTATCTCCAGAGAACTTCTCTAGGAATCTTGTCAAACGCTTTCTCTAGGTCAATATAATAATAACATATTCAATATATTGTTAGAGGTAGCCCTTGTGGAGGACAATAACATATTCAATATATTTTTAGAAATAACGGCTGTAGAGGATAGTGTGTATGCATATCTTATTTTTTCCTTGTGAAGATAGAAGGACTATTTCCCATAGATACTTGACCAATTCTTGAACCCACATATAATAATAATAATAATAATAATAATAATAATAATAATAATAATAATAATAATAATAATAATAATAATAATACCCAAGATTTAGTTCCCATTTGGCCATAGATTTTGGCTTTGTTTTTTCAAAAAAAAAAAATTAAAAACATTGCTAAATGTTAGTATCATGTTTTAGGGAAAAAAAAAACTTCAAAAATTTTCAAGTTACGAAAGCTGATTTATGATAATTTTTAGGTGAAATTTTTTCTTTCGTTCACACAAAACTTAACTTTTCTTTAAATGAAATGCATATCCAAAACTTAAACTAGGTGAAGATTTAACAATGAGGCTGTCGAATAATTTGTTGTTTTTTGTGCTTGAAGGGTAGCTAAAAGTTATGAAGGAGGTGTTTGACTTTTGGAGGTTGTGTAGCTACCAATTAAGTATGTTGTACTCTCTACTGTCAGCAGCATTGGACTTAGGTGTGCTGTGGCCTTTTCGAGGATTTGCATACTCTGTGAATCATGTGTCCCACTCTCTTTTTTGCTCTTTTCCTCACAATTAATTAATTCACCCTAGGCTATATATAACATACAGTACTATTCGTGTCTAGTATTACTCTAGTATATATTTTTTATAAAAGTTTTGATATACCCTATAAGAAAGATAGTTTATCTCTATTTTGAAAGTCTTACACATTATTAACACCCTACTAGTTGATGTTGTAAGAGTGAATGTGACAAGAAAATATTGTAGTAATAAATAGTTCATGTCTTTTCAAACATCAAATATTTGGACATAAATTTCAATATGTCAAAATGACTAATGGTTTGAAACTAAATCCAAAAAAGAAACTAAACCATAGGCTCAATTCCTTTAGATAATTTTTTTTTTTAAAAATAAAACGCTTGATGATGCATGTACGTCTTTAAACCCAATTTAGTTTTATCCTCTTGAACGAATAGGTAAAGGAGAACTAATGGAGAGAAAAGTGAAATTATTTCTGGTCTAGAATTATACATATTACTACAACCAATAATGCATTAGTATAAACATAAATTTCAGCAATTACAAGTTCTTTTGTCATGCACTACATTTAGCGTTTTGCTACTTGCTAGTAACTTACTATATATTTCATGTGTATACAAAGAAAATTCTGTACCCCATAAAAAAGACTATCTACGTAATTCTTTGCTAAACTATACCTATTTATCTGTAAAACAACATTAAGCACGCCTTGTCGGATGTTGACAATCCACTTGGTTTTTTCGACACACAATTAGTTGTAAATATAAAAGTGAACCATTGATTTCCCATTTATTTGTTGAACGCTTGAAGCCCTTTCCTTTAATTAAAAAAATTATAACGTTTTCTATTTATAATGAATTTTAGTCAACTAATTGGAACTTTAAAGTATTTTGTTTACAGATTGGATCTCCCATGGCAGCACTTCTTTTTTACTAAGGTCACAACGAGAATAATGAGCTCACGAGAAAGCTAAAACTTTGCTGCCAACTTTCTGACATGCATAGAGAATAAACCAAACTCTTTTTCTAGCTCTAAAGAAAACAAATCAATAAAAAGCTTGAAAGAATTTTCTGAAAAATAACAATCAATTTAAGATGTACTGAAAATCCAGAACCATAAAAGTTCACACTGGGATAATTTTCACCATTCTATGAACAATTTAATTTCCAATCTTCAAACAGCACATTGTCACACTAAAACCTGAGTTCTAAAAGAAAGACTTTGAGTTGTAGTTCACAAGACTAATCAGTATTTGCAAGTACAGTTTTGAGTGGCTTTGCACCACCATTTTCTTGAACAGAGTTTACTGGAGTAGAGGAACCACTCTTCTTTGAACTGCTTGTGAATGTCCTTCCCATAAATTTTCCAGCTTTGCTTAGGCCACTGCCAACAGCTCCAAAGCCACTTCCAACTATTCCTACACCAGCACCTACCCCGGTTCCGACGAGCCCCACGCCTGCCCCAAGACCAGTGCCCACCAAACCAACACCTGAACCAACCAGTGATGCAGCCCCATCAAGGGCATCCATTGTGCTCCCAATGACACCTTCTGCTTTCAGTTTCTTCCTTTCTTCTAGGATCACCTTCTCTGCCTCCAGAGCAGCTAACTGCTCTTCCTTGTTGAATTCATGATACAACACCTGCACGCAATAAACAAGCTGTAAAAGCTACCCCACTACCTAGACCATCCTATCATACTGGTCGTCAAAGGAGACACAAACGTAAACAATTACAACAACTACAACGACCCAGTAAAATCCCACTAGTGGGGTCTAGGAAGGGTAGTGTGTACGCAGACCTTACCCCTACCCCGAGGAAGTAGAGAGGCTGTTTCAGAAAGACCCTCGGCTCAAGAAGACGAAAAGAGACAATATCAGTACCACCAACAGATACCATAGGAATAATAACAACATCATAACAAACGTAAACAATTAATTGGTTCCAAACCTGAGAAAGGATTAGGGTCGCCGTAAATTGACAGTAAGCCTATGATGAATGCTGTAAATACTGACACAGAAGACGCATGTAATCTTACCCCAACTAGCTTAGGATTCAGGTGGTGTTGATAGATTGGGAGTAGTATAGCAACAATGAAACCTCAACAAATGAGTATGAATATAGTCTTGTACCTTTATTGTGATAGTTCCCCTATCCTTCTTATCTTTGACTTTGAGCATATCAAGTTTTGGCAGTAACCTTAATTCAATTTCTTTGGCAGTCTCAGCTACTAGCTCATTCAGAGGCAACTTAGCGACACCCATTCGCTGGTCTTGCCCAACGTCTTTATCGAAGACCTGTTCAAAATGATGTGAAGATCAACTGTCACACAAGAATTCACCCAAAACAGTATGTACAGCATCAGATATTCAAGACAGAGCATAGCACATGAAAAAATGTGATAGTAATCAAATCAAACCTCCACAATGAGGGATTGGGTCTCCTTGTCTTCTGCAATTAACTCAAACGTCTGATCCCAAACGGGATTTAGGTTGTTGTCAATGGTTTTTGTCTTAACCTTGAAAAGTGGACGAATGTATACAACCACATATGGATCAGATTTTCCGATCATTTCGTGATTCTTTAAGCCATTAGCCTTGACTACAGTTACTATGAGCTTCCCCTGTGGCTTAAGCTCCAAATCGCTGCATGGAGGGAAACAGTGGTTACATAACAATGAAAAATAAGCACGCGGAGACGATAAGGAACAAATGTATATGTGGACATGTCAGATGACCTAGTGTTTACATTCCCTATCCAACAACAGGTTTGCTGAAGGGTTTAAAAAGAGCCTAGACCAACAACAGTGGGCAAAATGAACAAGCACAGACATCACAACATGTGAAAGAATTTGACGAGAGTAAACCCAAGGAAATAGAAGTATTTATAGGTCATCCACAATCATAAGCCACTGGAAGACCTTTTCCCTAAAACAGTCTACCTCAAATTCAGATCCGCGTATTTCACTGGATCAGAAAACACAATATTTCGGAATTCAATTACCAAAAGCCATTTGATCTTTTTGTTTTCTGACATGTATCTCAACAACTGAAACACCTGAATTCAGTCACACAGGAAGGAACAACAGTACTATTGATTTCAAGTAGGCCATTCCTTAAGTAGATGCACAATTTTGATTTCTGCTGTTTTTCAAGCATACAAGTAGAAAGCAAATTGAAGCAACCCAAATTTACTTTTCTTTATTAGCATATTAGAAGGATCAAAAGGATAAGAAACTGACAAGGTGAAGTGCTCAGTGACTAAAGTATTTGTAGAATTGAAGATACCTATTATCCACAGGTACGCCGCCAATTGGAACAACAATTCTGTGGGGCCATTCTAGCATATCTGTCACTATTGTATTTACAGTGTCCTTCCACAGATAAACAACAGCATTATCAGTCAAACAGAAAATATCCAAAATTAGAAGTGTACTGCTAGAGAAGATGTCAACACTCACATCAATCATATCCGAAAGTCCGGGAAAAGCAGTTAAACTTCCACCGACCGCCTTCAAAACATAGTCGATTCTAGGCTTTGGCTGATTCAACAAAAAAAAAAAGAATACTTCATTATAACGCCCATCAGGACATACGCATCTCAAAATCAGTAATTTAATTGAGGGCAGAATAGTCATCTCCAAATAATGTTGAACNCCGAAAGTCCAGGAAGAGCAGTTAAACTTCCACCGACTGCCTTCAAAACATAGTCGATTCTAGGCTTTGGCTGATTCAACAAAAAAAGGAATACTTCATTATAACGTCCATCAGGACATACGCATCTCAAAATCAGTAATTTAATTGAGAGAAAAGTCATCTCCAAATAATGTTGAAAAAAGAAACCATGTAGCACATCAGAAACAATGGGAGGAACATCAAGTTAATATAAGAAATGAAACAAACGAATCGAGGAGCAAATTGACATATAGAATTAGGCTATACCTCAGAAAGTAATGCTACAACAACAGCCGAGATGCAAGGAATTTCCTCAGTTAGTTGGAAGATAACACGAATAACAGTGAATACTTGAAGATTTTTCAACTGCAACCAAGTTGGCAAATGGTCAGTGCAACTCTCTTCCTAAATAACCAAGTAGTCAACATAGCATCATCCAAGCAAAATAGACAGGTGAAAGTGTTTAGGCACACACCTGAATGGGTATAGAAGCAACCATTGCAGCTTCAACACCTAAAACAATATTGGGATCACCACCCCATCGGAGGTCAATATCCATAGTGATTTGACCTTTTTTAAGGCTCTGAACACGAATACCTGCATTAATTAAGTATTAAACATGTTAAAGCATTGTGTGACACCGCAGATACTCTCTGAAAGAACCTCAGATATGCAATGAGCACCAGTTTATCAACAATCTTGCTAAATGCAATAACCATGACACGATAAGCTCTTGGCAGTTTTTGTAGCCATCAGCTGCAACATTTTGAAGTATTACGAGAAAGATTTTCTTAGACAAATGATACAGAAGTTTAGGAGTTACCAAGAAAATGAAACTTGGTCCCACTTCTTTCTTCTCTTTAGTTTTCAATACTAGCAGCATCATACTAGAAAGAACTCAAACTTTGCAAAGACCTCAACCCAATAAAACAAATATTAGCAAAACAGATTAACTAGACTAACAGTGCACCTAGTGCATTGTCTTTTCCTTTCACATTATTTTTGATAAATAGGCATACACAATATTATAATAGGCAATAACCGTTCGCATGAGTTTTCAAACAATTAAGAGAACATGAATGCATTCTGCATTTTTTGTCTTCTCCAAAATCACAGAACTGACACCAGCTAGAAAGCGCAAATGAGCATGCGTGCTGTCATAACTCAATCCTATATGGCTTAAAATGTTCAACTAAACCTTTTGGTGTCAATACTGAATCATTGAACTGCAGAAGATTCAAACTGGAACTTAATTCAACTTAATAGATATGAAGATTCAGATGAATCTCAGGAGTAGAATACCAGCACAATGAGGAGGACTAGTAGCAGCATGGAAACTCCAACTAAATAATCTGTCTTTTCTTTCCAAATGCAGCTTGATGGATAGAAAAGCTGGATAGGATGAGTTTTAACATATCACTCTTTTTTGCTGATCAAACAGTTATACAACTAAAAGATAATTAACTTAACTACAATGGATTATGAATTACTTTTTGTCGATCAAACAATTAATAATAGATATTTTGATGCTGCTACCTTCTATTTTAGGTGCCACAGTTCCCAATGATAATTTGCTGAACTTCAATGAAGTAATTCCAGGAGGTTGATAATCTTCTAAAAGAGGTTCAACGGATTCTCTTATAATAGCCTCTCCTGCCTGCATAGTGACATACTCAAGAGTATTGGATCTTGGCTCACACAATACAGAAGTTGGCAAAAAAACATGGTTCACACACAACATGACTAAAGATACGTTTACATTGATATATAATTGTTACCATAGAAAAGGATCTGGCCATTGACCTTTATTGTACTATTCTCCGTGAGGACAGTTGTCATACAAGATGAAATATTTAACACTATAAACCCAATTCCGCTGCACAGAGCAGTGAACTTAACAACTATAAGAAAGCAAATGTTCCATCTTCTCAAATTTCTTAAAAAAAAAAAAGTCTTCGTTGTGCTCTAAACCTATGTTCCTACTTAATTCTAACTTCAAGGCAAGATCTTTTCACAATAAGCAGCTTCCAAACATTGTAGAATCTTCAAAAGGTATTTCATTTGGCTTGGTGAGAAGTCATCTACACGCAAGAAACCTTGACCCCTTATAAATTAGGTAATATCAGCATGGAATAAATCTGGAGTTTTGTTTTTATTTATTTATTTATTTATATAACCAAGAAATCCCTGAGGGCCAACGACTCACGGTTAGTGTACCCAGCCCTCTACCATTTCTGGTGTGCTATTGATAAGTTCAAGTTTTAATTAAAAAAGTAGCACACTAAGAAATAACTTCATTTTTGGCAACAATGAATAAAATGACAGAAGGTTTGAAGACACTTAAAGGGACAGTTTGGTTATTACATTGTCAGGGACTGAGGCTCATCAAGCAGCTTCTATGCCAATTTTGTATGAATTTCTAAATTTAGGCTTTACTGCTCAAAAGAAGAATATAAAAGATGCTCAAAAGACTTCTTAATTAGCCTTCACCCTCAAAATTCATAAGCTAATATTTGACTCCTCAAAAGTCCTCTTTTTCGATCTGAAATATGAAGTTAGGGCATTTGCAACTCAAAATTGGAGCCCGGTTTTTTTAATATTCTCCTAGTAAGAACCTTGTAAAGGTAAACTTCAACAAAACCTTTTATCTCAAAATAGATAGCTGATGTTGTCGCTAGTGCTTGGTCTCAAGAAGCAAGTCTTTTTTTTAACCGGGTATCCTCTTTTTGGCTAATATCAAATGCCAATGTGCTTGAAACATAAAGTTCGAAGTGGGAATGGATTATCGTTGGAGCTTAATACATAGTTCTACCTTCTAAGCTTCTTCCTCAATCAGGAAAAGCCTATACACTTTGAGCATTCCAAATATTAAATATCTTTATTTGGCGGGAACAAATATGTGAGTAGAAGATCATGGTAATAGGTGATAAGATAGCTATATCATATAATATTCTAATACTTTTTTATAAGGTAATATATTATTCTAATACTTACTGACTCTAACAATAGTAATGCTGTTATTATTCAGTTATTATTATTCATGTACTATAATCTCTGTGTAACTTGTCATGAATGGTGAACCAAACATCCCTAAAAGTTTAAACACACAGAGCAAAACTGGTTATAATACAGTTACAGCAGAACCAGTTTACAAAATGAAAATTGCTCAGGATAACTAAAAAGGAGTACAAAGCTTACTTCGGCAATAAATGGCCACAATTTGCTCAATTGTTTGTTCAACCACTTGACCTGCCCATGAGATATAAAATGAGACAAAAGTAACATCGACATGATCACTACATCAATTAATTCCTTTAGATTGTATGAAGAAAGGATTGCAAAAACACCACATGATGCATAACCTCTAAAATTCCCAATTGACATTAATAAAGTATGGAGATAACTGTTTATCAACACACTATTCCAGTCAACAACAGCCAAAGCAAAACATCTCTCCATCTACTTAAAATCTCCCTCATCTTCCGTCAGTGTATCTCTTGATTCTAATTCATCAGATTCCATAAGTAAAACTAACCTTCACTGACTTCATTTCTCAAGCAAAAAAGCATTACTATTGAGCAGTGACTAGAGCACAGAAAAGAAAGTTTCATTTAATCTATTAAGGATTTATGTGAATCTTTGTTTATATCTCAATGATAACAAGGTCAGTGCAACAATATGCATAGATTGATTAACTTCAGGATCTCTTTCAAAGACAGTAAGATTTATCAGCTTGAAAATAAGGGCACTAGATCTTCGAGCTCTTCTTTCAAAGATATTAATAAATTTATTCACATTTCACTGAACTTTTCACTACACAAATATAAGAGTGAACGCTACAAAGGGGGAACTGAAACAAGTAAAGTCATCCAAACCTGCTCATAAACCGGGAATGATATCCATTCAGGAAAGTTATCACCACACACTTTCTTTAGATCATCCCTGTTGAGGCAGCCCATTAGTTTTACATCTACTGCCTGTAAAGGAAGTAAAATATAATGAGGAAAATGAATACCAATCCTTCAGAAAGTGAAAGCATATCAGAAACCTAAATGTTGTCCGCAAGCATGATGATGAGCATCATGTAAATATTCACACTAGCACTAAAGCAACTGCAGCCCAGATTTAATACTACTTATAGCATAAGTGACGAGGGGTTGCTCTGATGGTAAGCAACCCCCACTTCCAACCGAGAGGTTGTGAGTTCGAGTCTCCCCAAGAGCAAGGTGGGAAGTTCTTGGAGGGAAGGATGCCGGGGGTCTATTTGGAAACAGTCTCTCTACCTTAGGGTAAGGGTAAGGTCTGCGTACACACTACCCTCCCCAAACCCCACTAAGTGGGATTATACTGGGTTGCTGTTGTTGTTGTTGTTGTATAGCATAAGTGTCATATGGAGCTATATCCGGTGACCGGTATCACCTCATTCGGTGCAAAGTCAAGCATCAAGCAGCCAAATACTATCACATAGGCAGCAAAAGTGCAACAATAATATACGCATCAATAGCAGAAACTGACAAATATACTACTCAAACATATAGCCATACATCATAGACACCATAAACTACTTCAGATAGAATGGAGATCATGTTCCAAGTCTGGGACAGTTGTGCGCTTCATGTTTTGACTATCAAATGTTAAGAGTACTCCTCGACACTTGCGGGACATTCGATAAGATTGGAACAACATAGAGAAGATTAGAATGACTCCTGCACAAGGATAGCACACACAAGAAGATTAAAGAGTGCTACTCCTCTTATTTCTCCCCTGTAAGCTAAGGTCGTTCATTCCAACTTCCAACTCGAAACAATTTCACAACGTCTCCATTGAAATCATTTGAATGATTCCTAGTCAACATACTGCTTCAGCTACAATTCTTCTCAAGCAACAAACGGACAGACCTATGACTAGTAGAAGCTTCAACTAAGTCAACTAACAAAATCACAGAATTATCACCATTTTCAGTTTTGTACACTCTTCAGGCCAGAAATTAGGGTTGCAACTGACACTAACCACCTCACGCGCACTAAGGTATGACCGAAGAGAAACAACATTGTTTGTCTTGAAATACAAACTATAGCAAAACCCAACTAATTTGTGGAAATGTTGGGACTGAGGCATTTTTTTAGACTGAAGATTAATTGTGGTCATGAAATATACTTCAAAAACATTAAACTCTGGACTATGGCAAGAATATATATACCTTAGCAACTCGTTTGTTACTCCTGTACCTCATCATATGTTTCCAAGCTGCCATTAAACCGATCCCCAAGATCATCCCCATCAGTATCCCAGAAATCAACCCCATTCTACTTCAGACCACTTAAAACACCAATTTCCCTATAAAATTGAGAACTTCAAATGTAAGAAAACCAATTCCAAAAACAGAAAACCCAAAAAAGAAGAGAAGCTTAACTATGAATTCAAGAATCAAAGAGTTATTCCAAGATTTAAAACTGAACTGTTATAAACAAGCAAAGCCCACCTCCAAAAAGAATATCTGGGTCTCTGCTGAAACTTTTTGCTTCCCCGACAAGAAAATTATTGATCTTTTTCAGAAGTGGGTCTACACGAAAATGGGGTTGCTTGGCATTCCTTACCTCCACAAAACTTTGAAGAAGAAAAAAAAGATACTTATCTTTTACTACCTATTTCAGTGTACACATAATTAATGAAATGAATGAGGTTTAACGGTTACGTACCCTGGTCTTGAGAGTGGTCTTTCCTGTTTCTTTGCTTTGCAATAAACTTTCAGATTTAAGTCTTGACTTTTGAGTTTCTTTGTCCGTTTCTTACAACTTTTGGGTTTTTGCAGACATGCCCCTGTATTTTTGGGGTCACCAAATACTATTATCCATAGGTGATGCAGATGTACCCCAATGATTGAAAGATTCATCTCTCTTTTAAACTTTAGTGCCTGGTGGTACGTACCCTACCGCTTGGAATTTTGGTGTTGGGGGTTAACAAGCATATCCCAATCAAAATTGGATGAGGCAGGGGCGGATATAGTGGGCTAATAAGGATTTAATTAAATTCATAACTTCAAATGCGGAATAAGAATTTATATATATCAATTTATTAAAATTATAACTCGTTACTTAGAAAATATAATAAATTTAATACTAAAATCTTAAAAGTTAAACACATAAATATTAAATTATGAACCCCCTCTAGCAAAGTGAATGATTCCTTACTTGGCCAAGTAGGTCCTTTTTGCATTTACATCTCTTTTTTTGGGTAAGAATAGTGTTAAATCCGTTTGTGTGTACTTTTCTATTTGAGCATGTACTTATATTATTTTACGGGTAATTTAATTCATCAAGTCTTAAAATAAAATATCCATTTTATTGATTTGGACAAGAGGCGACCATTTAGTAAACAATTTTGACATGGTTTCACTCATGTAAAAACGGCTTCTCTTTTAAGAATTATCAACAATTGTAGTAGGCCAAGTACATAGACAGCCCATTAAATTTGGCCCAATTTTTTATTAAAATTTTTACCTTCTATAGCAAAGGTTAACACTTTATTTATTTTAAATAAATACCATTTAAAAAAATTCTATAGATACCTTTTAAGGTTTATAACAAAATATTTAATTTTGGTTACCTCCTAACCCTAAGCCACTAAATACGCTAATCAGTTACACTATTTTTTTTTCTATCTCTACTTTGATACATCTCATTCTCTTCCCTCATCCCATTAAAATTTCCGATCTCCTTCTCCTTCCATTTGTGCAAAGAACACAGCAAACCCACGAACCTTTCTCTAAGAACAATTGTAGTTTATTTGCCAGAAAACAATTGTTTTGTCTTCCATAAAACTAAACACCACAATTGTACATGTTTTCATAAACAAACCAACACGGAAAAAGCAAAACTGTTTGCAATCTGAGCACTTTAGCATTCAGAACTTTGTTTTGGCAATCTTCGAATATTCAAAAAAAAAATTGATTCTTGAAGATTGCTATGTTCAAGATTCTCGCCAACAACAACAGCCGCCGACATTAAACTGATTCTTGAACAGCAGCCGCCGATATATAATCCGGTTGGTTTATTCTTGAACAAAGACGATGGAGTTTGGGGCTGAGCAACTTGGTTTTCTGTTAATATATTTCAATGTATTTTCATGTATTTCATTGTATTTATTGTCTTTTTTTCCATTGTAATTCAATGTGTCTCGTTGTATTCCATATATTTCATTGTATTCACTATCTTTTTTTCTCATTGTATTTCAATGTATCCCGCTGTATTCTATGTATTTCATTGTATTCACTGTCTCTTTATATGCCATGAATGTATTCATAAGTTATTTTTAATTAGTATAATTTATGTATTCAAATGTATTATATAATTTGTCTGAAGTTTGCTATGTTTTTAGGGTATTTTTCGGTTGAGAATCTTNTTTTTACCTGGGATAAAAGTTTTTGTGTCAAAGTGGAACAAAAGAACCCATTATATTTTTAAATATTATAGGTTTATATCTATATTTTTTTTACAATTTTAATGAATTTTTACATATAAATTTTTACTCCGCGTCGAAAGTTATGGGTTCAGCTGAACCCGTAGTTGTCACTGAAAATATATTTTAAAAAATATTTTTTTCCCCGGATGTGGGCAGAAAAAACGAAAAAAATAATAATTTGAAATTACAAAAAAAAATTGTTGGGGGGGGCAGTGGGGTGGGGGTAGCAGCTGGATATTTGCACGCGCTGCTTTTTTACCTGGGAGAAAAAATTTTGTGTCAAACTGGAACAAAAGAAATGGGGTTGGAGGGCCAAAATGGAACAAGGCTGAGTTAAAGTGCCAAAATGAAAAATTGGGCCAAGTTTAATGGTCTGTATATGTATCGATTGTAGTACAATCCATCCACGGTAGACAGGGGCGGATTCATAGGGTACAATGCGGGGCACGTGAACCCGTGGTCTCTTCGCAAAATTAAATATTTTATATACATATTTTTTTAAAATTGGTATAATATTAATTGTTGGCGTCCATGCTCCAAGAAGGTTCAATAGTGCATTTGGTTGAAAGTTGAGTTATTTGCCAAGAGGAAGAGGGATCAATTTCTACTTAATACATTTTTTTCTCTTTTTTTAGTAGTGCATCATGTACTAAAAATCCTAGATCCGCCTCTAACGGTAGATGGCTTCATTTGTCCCCTATTATTTGCGTTACTAAATGGCCTTCTTTGAGGTTACGCTTCAAGCTTTGTTCATGTTAGTTTGGTGGGTCAAATTTCACCTTTAAAAGTGGTTTCATGATATTTATTTTTTTACAGACAAATTTAGTACAGTGAATTACGGAGACAAAATTTAAATAGTGGCATCAAATAAAAGCCATTTGTGCAATTGCCCCATTTGTTCCGATGCTTTGAGTTTCATGGCTAATATATCTCCTTTGTGGCTGTCTTTAATGTCAAGATACCACATTTATGGATTTTGCCGACAAATATTGGAATGACTCATTCTAGTATTCAATTTCTCATTTATGGATTTTGCCGATAAATATGACCTAGTTTCTACCAATGTTAAAAATGGCCTTTATTTCCAGTGTATAGTTTCTCATTTATGGATTATTCATATGTATTATACGTTCTTGATTGGTCTATATTTTGAGATTGAATATTTTTTGTCCTAAAATATATTCGTGTCATATAAAGCACTTGAAAAATGCATTAACATTTAAATTTCACCAACAGACTACCCACTTTTCGAGAAATTTTCAAACGAACAATTTCAACGAAGAGCACCCCCTAGAGTAAAAGCTTCCACGGCCGTTTTGATACTACCTGGAACAGGATAAAGTGTATGGTCGAAATTTTGTATCTTGTTCAACTTTCTAGAGTAAATTAAATTTCTATTCATATATACGAGTACGACTCAAATTATGTATATAAAGACTCCTGCATTAACATGTTCAATGTATCTTGTATATATACTTCGTTCACAACCAAGCCACAAAGAAACCACCAAAAGTCGCAAAATCATCAGAAAGTTTTATTAGAATTTTCTTGGTGAAAGTAGATTGCTCAATGTAGCCCTGTGGTAGATACAGGCAAGAATCACTAAAACGAGGATAGTTGAATGAAAATATGACTATATGTTGAATAAAAAACCTGTAATAATTTGAATTAACTCCTTTTCTCTCTCTCATTTCTAAACAATAAGATAGCTCCAACAACTCAATCTGCCATGGAGCTATCCAGATCCTCAAGAGAACTAATAAGTATATTCCTTCTACCTCAGACCAAATGCAACACCAACACTACAAGTATAGAAACCACCAAGAAGAGTCCAGTACTGCTCCTCACACCACCACCGTTAGGGCGGTTGGTTACTACGGTAATAGGCGGTGACTCCGCCTCGACCGTGGATGGCGGTTCCACATAGGGTGGAGGAGGTGGTTGGTTGAGGTTCGGAGGAAGTCCTATACCATGTCCCACTTTGATCTCAAATGCCATCCCATTCAGGCATTGGGTGCCATCATCAGCATCGGAGAAGTAGTATTGTGCTCCCTCGATGGTCAATGGAACAGCGACTGTCATTGCTTCCCCAAACTCATTGCTGCCTCCTTGATACTGAAATGTATCATCATCTGAAGCATCATCCATGCTGCAATTCCTATATGTGGTCTCATTGTATGTTTGAATAACTGTCTGATTGGTGTTTGTACTAAATACTAAACACATAAATTAAAAACAAATCAGAATACCGTGATATACAAAACCAACATATGATAAGTTAGCAATTTGGTAATTATTGCAAATAGCAATAAAAAGTTTCAATGAAATTCGGAGTTCCTCCCAGGTTCGCCAGCTGGAAAAATACAACAGAGAACGTACAACAGTTCATACAATTGGGAGACTGATGAATTATGAATGAAACACGATCACATGTGCCATGTTCTGTATAATCTCAAGATCGCTTAGTTGTGACGTTCATCATACTTGTGAGTTATGATCACATGTAAAACACACCAGAAATCCCTTTAATGGGACTGACAACTCACTTATGACATCTAAATTTTTCTACTTGAACTATCAGAAACTTATCAGCTACACATCCCTTACATAATCAATTATTCTTTTTCTGATTAGACAATAATAGACATGCAAGGTATAAGAAAATTGAAACTACTCTACGCCTGTTTCTAGATCATAGTTATCCCAATAGTTGTACACTAAGAAAGTTTAACTTTTGCATCAAGATAACAGGACGTGGAATGGGAAGTAAACCGTCTTCATTAGTACCACTGTATCCTTCAAGAAAACAAGTGGGCAAGCCATAACTACCTAAAATCCATTTCACTTCGACTCGCTAAAACAGCAACGCAACCTACCTCAAATATTTTCTCACCTTGATCTAACCATTTCACAGCATATCTGAACATAGTAGATTCAAATGACATATGATTGAAACGGGAAATAAAGATTCTAGGATGAAATGCAAGCCAAAAGTCCTTTTTTCAGAAAAGGATCATATTTACCGACTTAACTAACGTTAAACAATAATAATATTTACCTACTTAACTAACGTTAAACAATGAAATTCAAGCCAAAAGTCCCCAGATGTGGTAAATATTTTGCAAGTCTTATTAGCTATCTAGATTGAATAGGGAAAGATTGTGAAAAGCTTAAATCAGAGAAGAGTTATGTTGGGACCTTGTCTTTTCCTTGGCACAA